TTTAAATATATCGGTTAGAGTTTTAAATTCTTTTCTGTTAAGTGGGATTTCCTATTTCTTCTAATTATTGACTTATTTTTTCGCGGAATCTTTTTGATGGGCTCATGTCTGGTTTTTACTCAGACCATTTGTTTTTCCAGTTACCCAAGATGCCAGTTCTTTTTTAATTGGGTATAGTTTATGTTACAAAATCGATTTGGGTCTATGTGTTGTTCCTAGGCTCTCTTTTTAGCCAGTATATTTGTTGCCTGGTTTTCCTGAAATGTTGCTGTTCATTTTTTCGAAAAAGGACCATGAATTGAAATAAATCATAATCTGAACAAGCCAAGTATTGATATCATTTTGTGATATTATCTTGTTGCAACGGAACAATTCAACACTTTGTCAAATTCCTGTAGATTCTTTCTTACTTCAGCGTTTACAAGTCATAATATATACAATAGGAACCAATTAGTGAAGATATTCAACACATTGTTTTCAACGGAATTATGGCTTTATTGAAGCAGTCTGGCATTTATGAACATGCTAACAATCAAGCTTAGACTAAAATATACAATTTATAAAGAAAGTTAAATGATAATAACGTTCCTGGAATTTAACTTTATTAAAATAGTAATACAATTGATTATATTTTCTTTTTAATTCTTTTTTCTTATAAATTAATTAAAATTGTGTTATAATAAAAATTCCTGGTTAACTTCGTCATTATAAAATGTGTTATTTTAAAAGTAATTTTCATCCGAATTCTTCACTGTTATTTATTAGATTTTATTTATTTTTTCTTACGAAAACTGCTCAAAGCATAAGCATTAACTGACAAACTTTCTTAAGTTAATAAGGCAAACTTCCCTTAAGAAGTTATTTGGATGTAGATTTGTTGTAATAAAACTTTCATTCAAGTCTTATCAGGATAAAAAAGTTGTTTAAATCTTTTTATGTCCGAGCTTATTTTGCAAGATTTCATTTAATTTTGGGGCACAATAAAAGTTTAACTTCCGCTTCATAAACAGTCGGCAGAAAATCAACTTTAAATGTTATATTTTAAGCTAATAAATTTCCAAAATTTCGAATTCTTTCGGAAATCATATGCAACTGCAAAATTTATATTTATTTCGGAATTAATATATATGTATTTAATTTATTTGGTGTTTTGGAATTAACGTTGACCTTGTCGGTCCTGCCCAGCTAAGTCGGAGTCATTTCGAGCCTACAAATATGATAGTTTTCCACATTCTGACAAATTTTCAAGTAATTTACATTAGCTATACATATTTTTATCATCAATAATTCGATAATGTACTTTTCTTACCTACAAACAAACTATCTACGTGGTAAGGTATTAATTACAGCTGTATGTAATGATTAATCTCTCATAACGTTGAGAGTATTTAATTTATTTTATAATTAACATTAGGATTAATAAAAGGATTTGAGTTCACAAATAAAAGTCTGTTACGTAACAACAAGGTCAATCAACACTGCCCTACTGGACCTACAGGATCAAGAGAAAAACAGAAGAGGAAGGGAGTCTTACGCTGAACGCAGTACCGTGAACATCGGCCAAAATAAGGGAACATTTTTATCAACGGTGAGCCGTAAAAAAAAATACTCATTCGGAAGAAGAGGATCTATTTTGTTTGTTCATTAAGGGAGAAAATTAATTTTTGATTCATAATTATATTTTGGTTGTAAGTTAAATTTTTTATTTTTTATTAAAACGTTTATTGTAAAAAGGAAATCTTTAGGTTTGAATTTACAAAACAAATTATTAGGAGGTTATATATAAAAAAAGAGAAAATTATTTTTTTTAAATTTATTTAAATTTAATACTTTAGGATATTACTGATAATTATCATAAGAAATTATATTGTTCATGTATATTTTTTTCTCAATAATAAACCGATCGTTTAGTTATAATTTCATTTCTATATTTGTTCTTTTTTAAATCAAAAACTCCATAAGTAACTAAAAAATAAAAATGTTATATAATTGGTGAATGTAAACTAATAATAATCAATTAACTTTAAAACCTCCATAACAATTCAAATAGTTTTTCCATTTCATAATTTCACAATTGTTTAATAATGTTAACTAATCAATATTGCAAAATTAAATAAGTTAAATTTATAACATGAAACATTTTGTTTTTTTCCTTGTGAATTTAAATTGCTAGAAGTTTTAATGTGATTATCTCTGGATATTGTTAGGCCTTGTGGAAAAAAACATAGTTTCTAAAGAAAATTTAAATGTTTTTAAAATGCCTTTATTATGACTATTTTGCGATAATTTATTATTTTCAGTAATTAGTTCGTAGTTAGTAACAACACTTACTCATGGATTAGGCTATTCTATTCAGTAATACAAAAAACTACACCCGAGCCTGAGATTTGAATATAAATTTACAGTTTTTCTCTGTCTCTATCCTGTTTTAACAAACATTTTAAAAGCACTGGAACTGATTACCATCGGGGTAGAATTAAACGTAAATTATCACAAGACGTGACTCAACAAGAAATCCATTAGGAGAAATTTACTAGAACGAACGTCCCGGGAGCTATAAATTAGGCGAATTTGAAACAAGATAGATAAAACATAAACACCGGCCCAAAAATACAACGCAGCGTGTTTTAAAACCAAGATAAATCATCTTTTTGCACAAAAATCATAGACATTTTTATCTACCACCTTGTTTGATTTAAGAGACTGTGTAAAACTGTTATAAATTAAGCTTTTATGCCACATCGCGTATCGAGAATTAGTCAATATATAAAAAATTATGTATTTATAATAAATATACAAAAATGGGTCAATATTATATAAAAATTTGCATTAATAGTTATAGCAGAATAGCACATATATCTTACTTCCTGCTTAAATTTATTTTTTATGGTAATTTTAGTCCTTTTGATTAAATATTCTGGAAAACCACCTTACAGTTGAGTACTACCGTCCAACTAAACCAATTTCCACCTAAAACATTTTTTTATTACTATCTATAAAAATTACATAGTAATGAGATACAATACGATCGTTTGATTGTTCCGCATATCCTGAGGAGACCCACCATAGTAGCTCTCCCAGTTTTATGAATATCAAAGTTACACACTATACGTAAGGAGGTTCCGAGACACGTCCGCATCCGTCGTTTGACTGGGTGGTAGGAGTGAGTAATGTTCTACATGGATCGGGAGGTTTGGGATGTAAGGAAGTTATTCGTAGAACGCGAATTTTTTTTGGGGTGATTAGGTTTATGAAGTGTACCTGTAGATCATTGTGAAGGGTAGTGTAGTAAAGGTGGTAAGTTGTGTTGAAAATGTTTCTGAGGAAGTTAGACGTGAGTCGAGATAGAACCCATGGTAGGTACTCAGGTAATTTTCAGGAAAGGGGTGTATGATGGGTTTTGTTTTTCATGGTAAGTAATATAGATAATTTTATCAATTTAAGGTTTTAAGTTGAGATAAAAACGTCAGTGTCACGAGCAGGATTCGAACCCACGACCTTCGGCTTGATACGCCGCTACTCTACCACGAGCTATCGTGACTTCGATCCCCTCGGGCACTAACTTCCCATCTCAACAGTACCTTTTTTGAAATTTCCCTCCTTTTTGCCATTTTTCAAATGTCGTGTAATCTATTTGATTCTCGGCGACAAGTGAAATGGCCACAGAGAGCTTTAGTGAAAATACACTTCATTTTAACTTAATAAATTCACTAGTTTTCGTGGACCGCTTGACCAATTAACATCTTTCAATTAATTTAAGGTTTTAAGTTGAGTTAAAAAAGTCAGTGTCACGAGCAGGACCATTATCTCAACTTAAAACCTTACATTAATTGAATGATATTAATTGGTCAAGCGCACCACGAAAAATAGTGAATAGGTAATTTGTTTTTCATTAATTTCGCAACGCCAGAGTTTGCTCCATTCGGCTATTCGCACACCTATGCCTAACGTTCTCCGAAGCAGTTGTGGGATCAGGAAAAGAGGAAAGAACAGCTATATCGACGGCAAAGGGAGGAAGGAGGGAGTAGTTGGACATCTGACGGTGAGAGGAGATAGAGAATTTGTCCGAGCACACTGCCTATGACCCTCCCGCTCCTAGAGAGTAATTTGGAATAGTCCGAACTTTTACGAACAAGGAAGACTAGTTCCATTATGTATAAGCAAAGGTATTTCGAAGGACACAGTTTTGTTTGAATGGAAGATCCTCACAAGTGATCAAACGCTTGAGACACCACTCCATGCAGTATTCGTTTCGCTTAAGGGATAAGGATATGTGGTTCAGAACGCGAACCACTTACTGAATTGTGGAAGGTAGAAGACCAAAACCGAACTGGTGATCTGGAAGAAGGTAGATGGTGATTCATTCTCAAACGATCGATCTCTAAACAAAAACTAATATCCCAAATGTTTCGAACTCTCACTAAATAATAATCCAACAATTTGTATTACTTTTAAGATAGTATCTTGAAGTTAATATTTGCTGGAAATAAATTACAAAATGGATAAATCAAATAAAGCAGGTTACTTGCTGCCTAATATCCAGTCTATTTTCGCTATCTTAAATTAATGCGTAATTTCAGTCTATCTGGAATTTCTGATTTTCCCGTAAAAAACGCTGGAGGGAAATGCTTCAGCAGCCATACGTACATCCAATGTAATCAGATATAGAATCATATATTAATAATATACTGACTGCAGTTTTTATTTACTTGTTGGGAAGACATTTTAATGATCTGCTTTGATTTACATACTGCCTAACAGTTTCTTAAAAATAATAAAAAATGGAAAGGAAGAAACAATTTAGATTAAGAAAAAACCAATAATGGTGGTCAAATATGTTTTATATTCATGGTCAGTATGAATTTAACATATTGTATATTGGCGTGCCCAGTTCCCCGTTTTCGCAAAACAGCCTAATATTTGGTATTTATCATAAAATAATTTGAGTTTCGTCTAATAGATAATACATTATTAACCTGGAGGAGGAGTGCTAGAAATACCTTGTGAACAAATTGGTATATTTGGTCATGGAGTCCTTGGCCTCGTTGACAATGAGGAGGCCGTCGACTATCGGAGCAAATTCGTACAATTTCGATACCTCGAGAAGTTCCTCGACCCGTTTCGTCCTGAGGCACATTTGAAGCCGCTCATACGGGCAATTGAGCTGCTCCGCAACGGATATGAGCATCTGCTGGGGGTGCTTCATTTTCGCACCCTTCGACAGGGCAGAGCCGGACATCATTATCACTTTCTTGAAAAGGCCTGAAAACAAAACGAGGGCGTCATACTTTTATTTAAACCAAAAACAGCAATTTCACGCAAAATAAAACCAAAACACATCTTAAATCTATTCTCTAAAAATAAAATAAAATTGGACATAGTTATGAATTTATTTTTAAATTTTGCATACAAAAAGTACTCTTTGTAAGTTTTAATATTTCATTAATTCTCTCTAGTAGTTTTGCAAACTAGTCAACAAAACTACGATATGACAGAACCATAACAGATATAGTTTCTAACTGGGAGCAATGGTTATTCATACGTATTATTGAAAATTAAATCAGAGCGGATTTGGTTATTTCGGCCAAGTACCCAGGGAGACCCTTATTCGTTTATTTTATACATTCATCTAACTTGTCATACTTAACGTTTGTTCCAAATCAAGGAATGACTCATTGAATGTTTCCTGGATGACACTTTAGTAAATATGTTAACTCTAAATAATTGACGAGAATTTGGGAGCAATTTAAACAATTGAAAACATAAACCTATCAATATTTCTTGTATATTTTTATTAATTTTTATTTAATTGGCACAACACTAGAAAGTCTTTAACTTCATCTTTCTTTATTATTAATAATAATTATAGTTTTAGCCTTTTCCTAACATAGCTAAAGTTGTCTATAGTTCAGTCAATGTTATGGACGAGTTAAATGGAAATCGGTTTGTATCAAATAACATTTTCTTAAGTAAAAAGAACACCAGTGTATCTAATAAAATGTTGAGTGGCTCATTTTTTCTCAAAAATTAAGACTAACGTACTGTATTTTTCAAAAGAACAATTCTTTGCAAACAAACTTACGCCGTGGAACTCGAGATAACTTTTGCGTTTTGTATTCCCTCTCAGGGACAAACTTGGCACTTGAGTAAAATGTCGTGTTTCCTTTCAAATCCTGATATTTTGAAAAGTGCTAAAAGCATTGCGAGAAGTTATTTTCCCCTCATGATGTCTAAGTAGCAACGCAGTACCCATCTCGGATACGGGTGTTTTAAGATTAATGCCGGCCAAATTAGTTCTGAAAGGAAGCAATTAGAAAATTGAGGAGAAAGCAATCACACCCGAAGAACTTAGGGACTACTTAATTTTAAAGTAAGATAATTTTCCGTTTGAAATGTTACTACGGTTGTTATATGGCCAAGATTGAAAAGAAGAGGGATATTCTTCAAGAATTGATGGTTCTATCGGTATTTGTTTTATCGTTATAGGTACTAATTTCAGAATGCTTATTGTAATGTAAAACAAACTAAATTAGAATTCACTAGTTTTCGTGGTTCGCTTGACCAATTAATATCTTTCAATTAATTATGGTTTTTAGTTGAGATAAAAATGTCAGTGTGACGAGCGGGATTCGAACCCAGACCTTCGGCTAGATACGCCGCTACTCTACCACTCACGATATCTCAAGTAGCAGAGTACCGCCGTATCTAGCCGAAAGTCGTAGGTTCGAATCCCACTCGCGACAGTGACTTTTTTATCTCAACTTACCTTAATTAACTAAATTAGAATATAAATTTATGAGTTGTAATAAAAATTATTTAATTATGATGATTTGAAAGAAAATTCACCAAAACGTATTCTATGTTCTTTATTTTCTATTGTAGAATTGCTTGAACTCCACACACATAGTATTGCCATTTGGCAACATAGCACGGATCTGATAGAATTAGTGTCTAGAGAAAGTTTTAATTGTTTTAAATATTTTTCCACGTTTCCTTGATGCCTATACATTATACAACAATTTTTCAACATAGTAAAAATTCATGCAATAACTCATGATGTACCTTAGTGCAGCAAAGATACATTCTTTACGATCACCAGTTCGGTACGGGTATGGAACCATAATTGACTTCTTTGGAACATGAAGTAAAGCGTTCTCGAAGTCTTCTCTTCACACCATCAGGTTTCCACAAACCAAGGCAAAACTCATCAGTGAGGATAACAGGCCCCCCATTGTTCAAGGCTGCAAGTGAGTTGTAAATGTGCTGACGGTTCCTTGGTATGATATGGTAGAAAAGGATACTAGGAAGCCGGGTTTGTATTCCCCAGGCACTGCAACCTTCTGGCTTGTTGTACCTTCCTAGTTCCTTAGTTCAGTCAATAGACTCAATCCTTCTTCTTAGAAGTATCAGGTCATTGACTGTTGTTGCTGTAATTTTATTCCCTACGTTTTTTCCATACGTTAAGTTAAACCTCCATTGAGCTGTTGCTTCGCATTCGAAGATTGTTTCCTCCTCCTCATTACATAATCTGCAAATGGGATCATCGCTGTATATACCCAGTTGTGTAGAAGTTTTCCCAGATGCCAGTGACCGGTTAGTAGTCCTACCATTCCTCGGAGTTTGGCCCTCTCCAATTGCAGCAGTGTTTTTGCCAGTCTCCGTGAGGGTCGTTTCACCATAAGTTTACTATGTCTAACACCGCTAGAGTTTATCCACTTCTCCTTTTGTTTTGCTTGGATCCATTCTGCGATGGAGGATTCTACGTTTGTTCTTGTTAACCCAAGAATAGGTTCGGGGCATATGTATCGTCTTGCAGATCCTCCTCTGGCCAGTCTGTCTGCTTTCTCATAACCCCAAATTCCCCTGTGCCCTGGCACCCAAGATATCATCAGGTTGTTGTGTTTCCCCAGGTTTTGGAGATTTTCGATGCATTCACTGACTAATTTTGATGTGATTCTTTTACATGCTAATGCTTTAATGGCTGCTGGGCTATCTGATCTTATGAGGATTTTTTGTCAGTGTAACCTCTTTTAAGATTTTCCAGGGCACAAGTATTGATGGCATGTATTTCCGCTTGAAAGACCGAAGATTGCTCATGTTTTGGGCTTGTACAGAAAACGCCCGATCCGGTTCCTTCGTTTGTTTTGGAGCCAACTGTGTACCATATCATTGTATCTGATGCTCTCCTGTGTTCTTCCTCTCCTTTGTTCTTCCTCTCCTTTATGGTCCATTGAAACTTTATAGGAAATTGTGAAGATTGTTTCCAGGATCATATAACCAGTCCCCATTTCTAATAATGGGTGTCTGATTTTGTTGATTATGGTTGTATGCCTGAATTGTTTAGTTCCTTTCCAATTCTTTCTGGAGCCTAAGTGTGCTTTTTCTAGCCTCTCCTTGTATGAATATTTCCAGTGGAGGTAGGTTTAACAAAGTTACTAATGCATTTGTATGGGTTGTTCTCATTGCTCCTTTGATACATAGGTTTACTTGTCTTTGTATGCTGCCTAATGTTTCGGTAGCTACTTTTTGTTGAGCTTTGTTCCACCAGATTAGAGAACCATAGGTTATTCTGGGTCTTATTACTGCCAATAGGCCATTTTCGGTTTTAGTCCCCAAGATTTGCCTATGGTCCTTCTTGTGGTCATTAGTGACAGTTCCTTTCCTGCAGTCAAAGCAAAACAAAAAACAGTCGTTGAGCAAAGCATCTGCCAGGGGAAACTTATTATTTAATTTTTTACCCGAACCTGAGCGCATGGCAATGTTTTTGCAATTTGGAACCTAACGCTCACTTAGGACATTGTAAAACTTGGAGCACTTAAGACTATTCGAAACAGTAGAAATTCAAAATTTGCATTTTTGTTACTGATCTACTCACTTATCAAAATTATAACGTACTTCCGTATAACTAGTAACATGAAATTCGTTAAAAATGTGTTTTATATGGCAAATAAAGAAAAAATCTGAGAATTGCAATTTTCTCAAAATCAGTGCCGCTTGGGGGTCTCACCATCAAAATTATAAGGCGCTTATCGTATAAGTAGAAATGTGATATTCGAAACAAATTTTAGTTTTATATTTGTAAGTAATAATCTGTTCTCACAAGACAAAATCTCCGACGTGTGTAGTCGCACCCCGTGCCTCGAAAAAACCAATACGACGTCCACGATGCTGAAGGGAACAAAAAAGTATGATATCCCATGAAAAAGCCAAACGTGAGAAAAGGGGAAACTCAAGATTCCCTCCAAAAAATTTGACTGTCAATGAAATAATATCTACACTGTGGCCATATCCGTTCTTTTTTATCCCATAACCTGAGGGAACTCAAAACAAAATTCCAGACTTTCTCCCCAAAAAGTCGTCCTATCAAATTGATATCCACATTAAGCCATAAAAAAGGGAGAGTAAGGTGAGGTTGGCTACAGTGTAGTTATGAATACATTGATAGCTTCATTTTTTTAAGGGGTCTGGAACTTGTCCGCTTTTCTTGGGATTTTTTGCTTCAACAACGAAAACAATTAAAAACCCATATAACTCATTGGAAAGTTGATTCTGGAAAGGATGATATTGAACTTTTTTTCTTTATTTTTGTTGTAAATAGTGTAAAAGGATTAGTAACACTCTATAACGGCAAACAAGAAGTTATTAATATTGTGGTTACGTTTTTTAAGACAGCTATTAAACTTTATTCCTTGATATTATGATAATAAACAATTAAAATATCCTAATCCGGATTTTTTTGTCTTGAGTGTACGTTGTATTGCAAATAAGAACAAAAAAGACCTAGAATAACGTGAAAATATGTAAAAAAAATTACTCTAGGAAACGAATGCTAGCGAAGCACAGTAGTATAGCATTTTCATCGTTTCAGATCATCTCGGTCCACCATTAACTGATTGTCACTCAGTGATTGATTTTGCTGAAGTATGTTTTGTCATTTATCATACAACGATATATTTGAAAATACCCACCCACCGGTAGGAGGTGTAAGAATAGAATGGAAAAATAAGAGAGAAAAAGAAGAATAAGAAGAGCCATCAACATTCTTAGTCCTAACAAAAGGTTTTTATTGTTTCTTTTTCAATATATGCGTTTATCTACTCTAGTCACATTTTTTATGTTGTTATAATTATGTTAGTATTGGCGCTAGCGAAATATGTTTTTTCAAAAAGATTATTTTTATTTTAGTTAAGTTTTCGAAATTTATTGGCAAAAGACTTAATTTAAGTTACTATTTTTCAATAAATTTTTAGTTCTTTTTTTCA